AAGACAACAAGATATACAAGATCGTCCACTAACACGAAAGGTGTAAAGTACGAAGTCCCGCGGTGCAAAACAACAACCTACCAAAGATCATACTGGATAAGAACCATCAGAACATGGAACACATTGACGGTCATACTTGACTTGAGTATGGAGAACTTCAACGCATTCAAGTCTGTAATGCGAGAGTACTACCATACTGCATTAACGAACACATACGATTGTGATGATGTACGAACTTTTAAAACGATTTGCCCTAAATGCAATAGAGCAAGGACTTTAACAAACTCGATGAACTGTTGTTTTTAGTCTCTATGGTTTAATTGTTATTTGTGTTATTGATATTTGTCTCTTAACGTTTTGGGCCCGCAGTAATTGGTTTCAGGCTGTTGCGGATACCCAACCATCAACTCAGTTTATGTCATTGTGTTATGTATGTATGTATGTGTGTGTATGTGTGTGTATGTTTCTGTACAGTAGTGATGGAAAAGCAATTAAATTAAAATTAAAATTAAATTAATTAAATTATCAGGTTATCGTTTTCTTCTGTTTTAATTTTTATATCAGGGTCTATGCGACGTTACTCCCGAAGGATTTGCACATTTAACTCACATGTTAATGAGCCTTGCAGGTGGAAAAGTAATTCTTGTTCTTGAGGTATTGTATATACTATATATTACAGTGCACAGAAATGCATGGTGTATACTGCAAGCAGACCTGGAAAATAGTGGGATCTCGGGATCCTGAGGAACATTTGCCTTAGCAACAAGATTGAGGAACATTGAATTTTTCACGCGTACTTTAAGGGAGAATTTTAAGGAATCATATTTAGTTATCTGCCATTTGAGTCTATTTTGTGATTGCGAAGTGTTCTTCATATCCTGTTAATAGAATTTGAAGATTGTTTTGTTTCCTCAGCAATTTTACAACCAATATAATTGAGTTCCAGATTCTACTCGTGCATGCGCATGAGAAGCGAGGAGAATATTGTTGCTCAATATTTCAGCTGAGGAGCTGTGGTTTTTTCAGGTAAAACGAAAAACTATATTACGCTCTATCTATATGGTATTGAGCACTATATAGCGGAATTAATTCAGTCAAGGTTTGAATGTTTGCGTCGCTACTCTGAGTTTCACGCTTTACGCGATCATCAGTTGCCTGATGATCGCGTAAAGCGTGAAACTCGGAGTAGCGAGTATATATATATATATGTTCTCTTAACTACATTACTAGGGTGGATATAATTTGACATCTGTGGCGGAGTCGTTATGTTCCTGTGTGACTACATTACTAGGAGATCCTTGTCCATTGCTGGAACCTTATTCTGTCTCGGACAGGTACTGCATGTATGTAATATTGGAGCCGGTGACTTGCGTTAACTCCAGACGAAGGGCCATCGCTCGAAACGTCGAAATTCTCCTTAATAATTTATATAAATTTATATAACTTAAAATTTATATTTTTCATTGACCAAAGAAATTTAGTTCATTTAGTTTGGTTTAATTAAATACTTTATTGGGTAAATATAGCCTATGAACATATAATTATTTACAAAAAAGACGTACTATGCATACTAGGCATTACCGAAATGGAAGAGGTGCGAACGGAACGTAAATAACTATCCATGCAAGGCACCTGATCAAAGCTAGGTCATAGTTCTTATATAAAGGTCGATCTTATTAATTTCTACGATATATGTTTTACAACATGTGTTAGGAAGCTAGACTGAAACGTTCCTAAATATAGGCCATTTCCCAATTACGCTCAAGCTATCAAGAACAATAACTCCAAGTGGAGGCTTCATTGGAAGTGGCTTATTTGCATGTTTGATCGATTTTGTGGAAAACATCACGTTTATCTATTTTGCAAAATGTTTCATCCAAAAGCGCGGATCCCTTGGAAATATTAATACGATAGAAAGGCGGCCGCTATGAAGACTGCGCCATACCCAGAACTCCAGAAGCCAGTATAATAAAAATTCCAGAAGCCCCATATGTTAAGTCCGAAGCTGTTCAGGTAGAGAAGGTATAGGGTAGGACGATTAGGGAAAACCAGTACAACTAGGATAATTATTTGTAGGAGTATTATCGCCTATAATATCTTTTTTAGTGCACTTGATTCCATCAACTCCACCGTTCGTGTTCACTCGCAATACTGGAGAAATCTGAAACAAGACGACCCAGTAAATTAATTATAAAGAAAATATAATATACAGGGTGTATCAAAAAAAGCGCAACCTCGGAATTTCCCAAGAAATCGACATTGTTTTAAAGACAAAAGATTTTAGGCGCCTGGGAATTTAAAATAGCATAACTGTCAAAATTACTGCACACGCGAGTGCATAAAGCAAAATTTGTGCATTTATTTAATGCACAACAACAGTAATATGATCTATTAGCAATTCGATTTCAATTCCCAGGGGCCTAAAATCTTTTATGCTTAAGAATTGCAAAGTGATTTCTTAGGAAATTCCGAGGTTGCGCTTTTTTTGATACACCCTGTATTCCTATAATGGAAATTATGTAAAATATCATGCATGCTTGGATATTATCCAGTCCCTTGGGTGGCGTCTATTCCATCCAGCGATTTGTAACATGTCTTATTATGAAACTATTTTTGACAAGTTCTAACTAAAGATAACAAGTTATTTTGACGCTTTAGTCCCATAACTTATAACTATTATTACTTATCTGTACTTATAACTTGTAAAATTTTAGTAGCTTTCATATATCCTGATGATGACTCAACAGTAGTCGAAACGTTGAATTAAAAATATGAATTTCTTCGGAGTTTCCATTGTTTTGTATTTTATTAGAATACTCAGTGGTTATCGAAAATTTTACACTAGAAATTATCGTATTGTTATAATTTCAATGCCTGAGCACTATGTTGAACACAAGAGTGCGTAAACACAATTGAATTGAATTTTTAATTACCAGGCGCATCAAATCCTGTGCTTAACAACAATAGGATAATTTCTATTGTATCACTTTTTTGGGGACACCCTGTATAGATGTTGAATATTCCGAATGGATTACTTATGCGAAAATTTGCTTCGTAACCAGTACTATGGTTATGTTCTCTGAATATTTGGAGAACGGTTTTGCAGAAATTTCCATGATCCATCTACAAAAGTTATATGCCCCAAATATCCTGATATTTAATCTCTGAATTTTTCTATTGAACATTCCCTGCGTTTTTGACAAGATTTTTGCATAAATATAAACAGCTATAAATTTAAATTTCCTCAGTTTGCGAGCTGGTGGTTCGCGCCTTCGCAAGAGTTTTTTCGCGGGTTGCATGTTCTGATCTCAATACATTTCTGTGTCTGTCTGGACTGTGTTTCAATATGGACGACACAAGTGATCCATCTTTGATCGAGCAATTTGTGAACATTACAGGTGCTACTGAAAGTAGAGCACAAACATTACTGAACGCTTGCAACGGTAATTTAGAAATGGCAATTGGTATGCATTTAGAGGAAGCAGAATCCTCCGGAAATCATACTCAAGGAGAGAGCACAAGTCATCAGTGTGTTGGGTGAGTTGAGACGGTTGGACTATGGATTTTATAAATATTACTGTACTTTATGTGAAATATTTTAAAAAATCCTTTTTAGCGAAAGGTTTTCAAATTAAATGTTTGTTTTCATCTCTTAAAAGGCCAATTTACATTTTAAGAGATATGTATTGAGGGTGGTAAAGGGGATTTTGCATATATAAAATTGAACTTTTAACGTGAAATTTTAAAAGTATTTAATGCCTTTTTAATCCGTTAGCCTGTTTTTACGTTTTCGAAAATAATTTAACCACTGAACTCAACCTTGAAAGACATTTTTAAAACCACAACAATCTGTGCCAGTGTAGGTGGTACAAAAAACACCAGAACATAACATTGAGATGGATAGGGTTATAACACCTCGTGTGGACATTACACACAAACTCTGTGCACACGACACTCGAAACTGCTAGACGCTTCATGTGTATGTACAACCTGCAGTCAGACTACATTCATGCTTGTGTCAGGTCAAACTACACAAAGTTTGTGTGTAGTCAGCAGGCCTCGAATTTCCCTGAAATCAATCGACGGCAATTGCCGTGGAACGTAACAGCTGTCTACGGCAACTTTGGCAGTTTCCACTGCATTTTGAGACTAAAATAGTGATTTACGCATGATTTGATCAACATCAGTGGCGTGCTGGCAGGGGGGCCAGGGGGCCATGGCCCCCCCAGCTGGCAATTCTTGCAGGGCGCAAAAATGAAAAGGGGGTGCCGATCCCGTGCCGAATTTTGAAAGTGGGTGGGAAAAAACGAATTCAAAAAAATATAGTTACTTTCGCCGAGAAAAGATGTGTTTATAGGCTTATAAACAGACTAAGCGCATATGCGACAAAGTGATATACAGTGTATTAAATTATACAGACTATTTGGTCTAACCGTATTTTGCTAATTTGCTACCACGGCTCACACGAAATCGTTCATATAGAAACATGAACTGTGATCACACGCAATGTCTCATCACCGGAATATTGGTCAGGTTTCGAAACGATCACGGGAATCATGCCCTTTTTTGCTGGTATTATGCCCTTTTTTGCTGGTATTATGCCCTTTTTTGCTGGTATTATGCCCTTTATTATGCTTCACGAATCACGAGAGCGGTGCAAATTAGATAGTTTAACTTTAAGTTATGATAATGTAAAGTTGTGTACGCAATTTAGTTGTTTGCGCTAGAAACATCATGAGTAATGAAATAATGCTGAAACGCGCCCTTTTGGCAGCCAGGCAGGGAAACCTTAAAATGCATATGCGTGGGGTCCGTGTGTTATTGTATAAAAGAGCTGTATGTTGTAAATGTACTCAAGATCACTAGATCAGTAGAGAATAGAATTGGGATTAGATTAATCGCTGGAAGTTGTTAGCATTGCATAATATAAGTACTACTACCACTAAATTCAAACCAAATTGCAAATTTCGACACGTTATAATGCCGTTTCCTGACCATCAGATTTCTGTCAAATCTTCCCCCAAAGTCCAGGAAATGGCATTTCAGGGACTCTAAATTCAAAAATTTCCTGGGGGGCTGCATGCCCCCGGACCCCCCTATAGACAAATCTCGCACCTGAGGCGCTCGGCTCGTGCCTTCGGCCCTCGTTTATCAAGCGAAACATTATAGGGGCGCATATTTGTTGACAGCCCACTGGCCCCCCCAGAAAAGTACTACCCAGCAGTACGCCACTGATCAACATCTGAATTCAAGTATCAAAGATAAAAATTGCACTATACGGCAAAAAATTGCTGTTGTTGCTGCAATGTAACATGTTGAATGTTGTTGCGGCATTTTGTTCTCCCTCTACGGCAATTGCCGCGATAAAATTCGAGCCCTGGTAGTCAGTATACATACACAAAATATTTGCATGTAGGTGTAAATTATGATATATCTCGGTTTTGACAATACAAAGGTTTATTTAAAAATAGTGGAGGCGAAACCAAGATTCATAATTAATTGTGTAAACGTTCTCTGGTTAAAAATATTTGTTATAAACTTTCGACTGCCAGTCTGCAGTCTTCATTAATCTACCCATCGAAGACTGCAGGCAGTCAAAAACTGCTTATTTTAGCCACAAAATTGTCTAAATCTGAAAAATAAAATTGGTGACCTATCTTTTCCACCTCATATATCAATAGAGCATGATATTCTGCAAATATTGAGAAAATGTAATACAATTCTTTACAGTGCAATTTTTTTAAAAGAGAAAATTTTATTACAAGATTTCCACTGTAAAGATTTTTTAAAATTTGAAATATATAATGTTTGTGATGTTACTCTGAGTGTGCGTCCACACTGGGCAAGCAGAAAAGTTTGCCTGGTCACCACGGTGGGAAACAAACCCGCGACCTTTGGGATACTAGTCCAATGCTCTGTGTCGGCATCTGGCATTGAACTATGAGGTCAGGTCGGTTCTTCCCACCGTGGTCAAGCAAACTTTTCAGCTTGCCCGGTGTGGATGCACACTCAGAGTAACATCACGAACATCATATTCACCTGAGTACATAACATCATTCATCAACACACACAGAAAATTGAAATATATAATATTTACTAAAATTAAAATTTGTGGTCAAAAATTTGAAGATAGGCTACTGATGAAAATAATGGGTCGCTCCAGAAAAAATCCACACTCCCCCCACAGAGCAATTTCTGCCGTCCGAAGGGGAGGGGAGAAAAAAATGTTTCTAATAAAAGCATATGTATTAGGACATCCGAAGGGGGTAGGGGGGTTAACGTCCAATTTCCTCCGTGGGGGAGGTATGGATGTTTTCTGGAATGACCCAATGAGTAAAATGCAATTCAAGTTGAAAAAACCCATTGTGTAGCTCACATAATTCTCCAAGTATGTCAAAGTGTCGCTGATTAGTGAAAGATTGTACACATGCAGGCGCAGAACGAGCTTTCATCCAGAAATCGAGTGGCAATAAGAGTGACTTGTACAAGTGACTTGTACAGTAGAGTATTGACTATGCGAAGCATTGCTTTGTGACTAGTTTTTTGGTCTATTTGTATCATATCATACAGGCATGCAAAATTGCTATGTATGGACTCGCATATTGATTTGGCACTCAAAACGAAGGATTCCTCGATGCTTTTTTACATTATAAACCTTTCATAAATAGCATTTTTTCTAAAAAAAGCCTGGCCTATTTTTGTTTTGTTTTGATCGTGTAGTTGCGTGGGATAGTCCCATAGAATAATAATATATATCTATGGATAGTCCATGTACTAGTCCTGTGAATATCCTGTATACTACTGTAGGGAGCCTCCTTAAGAACATGCAGTTGATAAGAAATAATAGGAAAGTTAACTAGGACTAAGTTAGTAAGTAAATTTCAGCATTGAGGGATCTGCATTGACTACACACAAACAAACATTGACTACACGCACTACAAGCAAATGCTGTACTACATGCAAATGCTGTACTACATGCAAACCCAACTACATGCAAGTGACTTGTACAGTAGAGTATTGACTATGTGAAGCATTTAGTCTATTGCTTCATGTAGTTATGAATTTACTACACAAAGATATGTTCAAACGATTTTGCGTGTAGACTACACACAACTTAGTCCACGAAGGATGATGTTACAATACTTAGGGGCGGCACTGTACAGTTACTACAGTAGTTAAATCCCTATCCATCTCAATTTCTGGTATTTTTAAAACCAACCGATACGTATATCTACAGTAGTAAAAATCAAGAATATACTTATATGCATGCATGCTGTAAAATTGTTAAATCAAAGCATTGCTCTTCTTCACATTCTCACTTCTTAGTACTCATCCAATACTCTTTGTTCTACTGTCCTCAAATAAATTATCGTCCAAGACAAAGGATTAAGGGCTTTCACGGCTCACAGCTACATAGGCATGTGAATAATTTTTCACAACACAAAAAATCTGTCATTTCACAAGAACAAATTTTTGCATACAACCCTCTGTATATGATATACCGGCACCTACCTTAGTTTTAACATTATATGCTGCACCTTGCATCTGTGGATGAACAGCTGCAGAATGATGAGTCCATCCTCACATGAAACGTACGTCATTGCTTGTGATAAGGCCAATGGCAGTAAGGTACTGTATCAACTTGCTGTATACCTGACAAAAATATTTTTTGTGTGGACATTTTTCATTATTCATTATTGTCTTTGAATGTTAACAGTCTAACTTCGTCATGATTAATTATTATCCTCATCTTTGATTTTGGTAGCTTATGAAGCAATATATCTTTATTAAACTATGACTATGTTTGAATATAAGTTTGACAAATATGAATTGCAGTTGTTCAAATTTCTGCCTATATTGTCATATTGTTTGAGGATGGATTTTCAAAGCCTGTTAATGTATTTTAAAAATGCTTAATACAATCTTATTTCTATTAAAAAAATAGTGAAGATGATGTAAGAGCTCCCATTCCACAGACAAGAGGTGTTTTAGTGGAAGGTCCATATAGTAGAGGTAAATACTTTGAACCTAGCTTGAATATATTATATAATGATTTGGTTAAACTATTTCCAACACCAATACATAACTGTATTATATGCCTAACAGTCCTATGAGTATAGAAATCAGAAAGGAATGGAGTAAGTAAAATACTTAATTTGCTTTTTTAAGAGTTGCATCCAGTGTCCCAGGGAATCCCCCCCCCCCCCCCCCCCCCCCC